ATAAATTAAAATAAAAGATGAAAAAATAAATAAATAGAGTTTTTTTTTTAACTTTTAAATATGCATATTTTGCTCTGTAAAATACCAAAATCCAACACAAATTTAAGCAAAAATCAAAGTTTTCTTTGTTTTCATAAGCACAGACTGTACTTCGGGTGTAAAGCTTTCCTGGTCTATAAGATATGAAAGATATTTTAAATCCAACTTAGTTTTCAAAGAGTTCAAACCGCCTAGATTCAAATCCTCTTTTCCTATCTTATAAGGGCGTTTATCAAGTGAGTACTCCACAGCTTTGCTTTTATTTACTATCTTACAGTTACAGTAGTAAATGAACGCTTAGAACTATGAGTTGCCATGAGTGAAATAACTATTATACGATGGTCTGGGAACGACTAATTATAATTTTAAAATGGTCGGTGGTAATCTATCTTTTATAATACTGTGATGAAATTGGATTGTTTAACGCATTTACAAGAATGTCTGAGTTTATGTATATGCATTAATTGTGACGCATTGATTTCTGGGTAATGTGGTCATGGAATGTGTGTTGGCTATTTTCAGCTATGAACGTGTTTTGTGGAAGAAGTGAAATTAAAGTAGAATATAGACCTGCCCTCAAATATGGCGTTTGTTATTACTCTGTATGAAGAAATGATTGGCCCCTGGCTAGACTGAACATGCGAACCAATTAATGGGGAGAAACGCCCTCTATAGGTGGAGGGAGGGGTAACCAGGGTACACTAACCAAGGACCAATGTACATGCCCATTGAACCACACCAGAAAGTTGACCATCGGTGTCTGATTGGATCAATCATTTAAAAGTTGTATCCGATTATTTTGGAAATTTGCTATGTTCAATCTTTCATACTGAACTCCTTCAAAAGGCGAACAAATAATTCGTATGATTTTGACGCCACCTTGGATTTTCGCCAAAAATGGCAAACATTGGTTTCTTAAAATTGTCACTTGGTCTGGCCGCCATCTTGAATATTTGACAAACAATTTGTGGTATTTAATGAGTACTTCAACCGATCAACTTTATATTTTGCATGTATTGCTAAAGCTTAATACGAAAAATAAATATTGATTAATCACATGGTTTGGGTGTCATCTTTGATTTTTGGCAACAATATCGCCAATTTGGGGCATCTGTGTCTCATGGAAAATAAACATATATATCAGTGGGTACATTAAGGCATATTCAGCCTTCAGTGAAACATTCATGTTTGAAAAAATCTAGAATATTTTATGGAATACAACATGTATATTTATATCTCGGGGTAGAACTGACGGACATATGACTGAGGCAATATCAATACACGTTCACGACGACGATAAAACAGTCACACTGACTTTCACCTCTTAGGATATAACATTAACTTTGCACTGGATCTGACTTTTCTAACATTGCTTGTGCTTTTCAGTTGCCGCAATGTATGTTTATGACTTTCACAAACCTGCAAATCATCATCTGTTTTCAAATTGTAGATTATCTGTGAACTTCTTACTAGGGGTGTGCATCATACCACTGAGTTAGGGAGTTGTTTTCTGTGGGTGTGCATCATACCACTGAGTTAGGGAGCTGTTTGCTGTGGATGTGCATCATACCACTGAGTTAGGGAGTTGTTTTCTGTGGGTGTGCATCATACTACTGAGTTAGGGAGCTGTTTGCTGTGGATGTGCATCATACCACTGAGTTAGGGAGTTGTTTCTGTGGGTGTGCATCATACTACTGAGTTAGGGAGTTGTTTGCTGTGGATGTGTATCATACCACCGATCTAGGGAGCTGTTTACTGTGGATGTGCATCATGCCAATGAGTTAGGGAGCTGTTTTGCTGTGGATGTGCATCATACCACTGAGTTAGGTAGCTGTTTGCTGTGGATGTGCATCATGCCAATGAGTTAGGGAGCTGTTTGCTGTGGATGTGCATCATGCCAATGAGTTAGGTAGCTGTTTGCTGTGGATGTGCATCATGCCAATGAGTTAGGGAGCTGTTTGCTGTGGATGTGCATCATACCACTGAGTTAGGGAGCTGTTTTGCTGTGGCTGTGTCATATACGATTGAGTTGTTTGCTGTGGGTGTGCAACAAGACTGAGTTAGGGAGCTGTTTGCTGTACAATTTAAATTGTAAACAATGCAAACATTCATATTTTCAATGTCACTTTATTAATCAGCAAACTGTAAACCCAGGCAAATAAATAAATACAAAAGTTTGTGCTTCAAATTACCAGACATAAGTACAGCACAATCAAGAAGTGACATAACTTTCAATCTGGCTATCAGATTGATCTACCTTTTTCATAATACGAGTATCATTGTCATCGATAATTTCAACTTATTTTT